ATGGCATTTCAGAAAATCCTGGCTTTTTTTGGCATCCTTTTAGTTGCAAGATTTTTCTGGGATAGCACATAACCATACACGACTCGTAATTTATATGTTCCACAAAAACAGTTTGTACAAACAAAAATAACCCACGGTCAAAAGGTGGAAATTTGGAAATATTAAGCGATTGCATACGCATCTCTTTCAATTTAACTACACAGAACATGATTCAAATTTAAGACTCGATCTTGTCGCCGACAAACAAGGAAGCCAGAACATTAAGCACACAAATAGAGCAAGTGGTTCCTGTAACAAAGTTTTCCTCTTTTTTCAGGGAGTAGCAATAGCTGACGATGACACACTGATCAAAAGGGATGTAAACGTTTATCGTTCACACGTCAAGATAACTGCGTACAATTCACGTGGTTATAAGGTACGTATGAAAAGACAAATATCTTTTCTTTTAATTTATAACTGTAAATCTAGAGAAAAAACCAGCTAAAATGCGACTCAGTTTTGCAGATCATAAGAAATATCATCTGCATTAGAAATTTTCCGCAGAGTAGACATTGAAGGCTCAGTTTTCTTTAAGTGTATATTGATAAGAAAGACTTATTTTTTTCTTTCTTCTGGGTTAAGGTCGTCGCCACCAACGAAACTGAACAGAAGCCAGATTCATTCCGTCCAACTTCCTGCGTTGATTATCTTCGCCGTGGGATCTCTGAAAGTGGCATCTACAAAATTTACGACCAGAGTGGAAAGAGTTACACCACTTACTGTGACATGAAGTCCGAATTAGACACAGCATGGACTATGGTCATGTCATGGTGTACCACAAATCGAAAGCTCCCAGCGTTTGTGAAAATACCCTTCAAGCACAACTCCCCACAAAACGAGGACGCCCTCAACTGGGATCTTTACCGCTTAAGTCTGGCGCGAATGAGATTCTTACAGGGCCAGTCGACTCACTGGCGAGCAACATGCAGCTACCCAATAAAAGGTATCGATTTTAGAGACTACCTTCGGGGAAACTTCAAAGACTTCAACATCTTTGATTTCACTGGAGAAGGCAAGTGCAAGAAAGTGGAATACGTCAACATCCGGGGACACGTGGGCACGGATCTGACGGCACCTTTCTGGCAGAGTCTTAATAAATTTACTCTGCATATTAACAGTCCATCCACTAACTGTCAGTTTAAGGCGGCGAGCTCTGGTGCAGTGTCAAGTGAAGACAACTTTGGTTGGTATGGAGATGGCCTCAGCACTAAATTCCGATGCACGGAAACAGCCGAATCCACCACCCAGTATTGGTTTGGTGCTCACCGCTAATCTATATCTGCTCCGAGACAAAACAGCCTTACAATGGGCTACAGAGTTGGACTAAAGTCCCTCGGATTTGATTTTTAAGAAACATTGATTTATAGATGACTTTCGTGTAGTGTTTCACGGATCGATCTTTAATAAAATTTTTTACAGTCACTAGCCAATTGAGTTCTTTGTGGTAAGTTTGTGTCAGTAAAAAATGTGGTAAAGAGCGGTGAATGAATATGACTTCTGGAAACGGTTTTGAAAGAAACAGGGGTAAAGAAGAGAAATTTACTTTTTTATAGACCAACTGCGAAAATGAATAAAAACAAACTGCACGAAAGCGGAGTGAGGATTTATTTCTTATTTCAAATTTAATTAAGCACTGGTTATTCATTTCTTCGACGCTTAAAATAAATTTTTTCCTCGTTCAATTTGTCTTTTAACTACCTATACGCTTCAATTAAGAATAAAAACAATTCAACCTGTAGGGACCTTGTTAATTCGATAGCTTACCATAAAATAGGGCCGGAACGAAAATAGTGCGTGCAGTGACGTGGCTTCATCTCAGTACTTTTTGGGTGATGATAAAAGTTGTTACGCAGAACAGAAAGAGTGGAAAAGATATACATTTTTGAAGGCTAGCAAAAGTACAGAGAGCGACGAACGGTGATAGAAGCTAGGTCACCGCTACTCTCTACTTTCCAACAGAACGTAACATTGTTTTAATTTGGCAGCTTTTTACTGAGACGACACCGGATTAGCGTTGACTTCAGATCTTTCTAACTTACAATGGAGGTTTAATTTGGGTTTGCAGTGAACGCCAATCACTAGTTAGCTGGTGTTCGAAGTTAGTTTTTGATGGTGCTTTGCAAATATACTTTAACACGTGGTTTCCCAGGTTGAATCACAGAATTCAGACAAAAAGCTCACACTATTGTTGGGAATGAAGTGATCGAGATTTTAGTCGGAAAGGGGTTGATTATTTCACGTTTAGTTTGTTAAAGCTCAGGCATGGAAATTAAAAATCAACTATTAAGCTGACCGAAATCTGAATATGGGGTGAATTTGTTCTTGTTCGTCAGTTTCAAATACATTTTCAAACACCATTTCAAGTCAGATATTTTTACTGATAATGTTCATCCGATCGACCTATGTAAGGGAACACGGATTTTTGCTCGTAGAATCCGGAACCTGGACTTTTGAATCTGGAATACAGCTCAAGGAATCCGGAATCCCACTGACGATTGGTATCCGTAATGCAAGTTCCTCGAAGGACAAGGAATCCGGAATTCACGGCGTAGAATCCAGAATCCAAGACAGTCTTGGATTTCCTTGATGTAATTAACAATACATGGGGCGAATCTGCGTTTCGTTAAAAATCTGAATATTTTTTCAGCAAAGAGTAGGAGTTAGGTACTATAAACCTGAAAAACCTATCGATATAACTTTAATATTTACTGAGTTGATTTCGCTTGCAACCTAAAATGCTGGAATAACCATACGACTGTAAAATAGACCTTGTCACGGTTTTAGACGCCATCCTGAAGAGTAGGCAAACGCGTGAGAAATTACAGTGTTTGTATGAGAATCTAATGTCGAATAATTTCCGTAGAATGGCTGTTCTGAAAAAAAAAAAAGAATTTAGTTAGCAAATTCAATGTCTACAATAAACCAAAATGAAATTGACCCAAATTTCGACAAACTTGACAACTGAAAGTACTTCCAGTCAAAAATTGTTATAATTCTTTTGTTCTTCGTTTGTCTTCTACCAAACGAGTTATGAAGAACAAGTTTTCTTGTTTAAGATTTTATTCACTCCATTTCCTTTCGCGAGATTAGTGATAACATATCAGTTAAACAGATCCCCAGCCAGCCCCACCATTTGCTTGTTCATTTTTTTGCGGCTACGTTTATCAAGACACTCACTGAGGATTCAAATTTTGTCAAACTTCAGGCCGATTCGGAAAGCGCTTTTAACGGAACCCAAACAGCGATGGCGTCATTTCAGAATATCTTTGCTTTTACTGGCATCACTTTACGTGCAAGATATTTATCGCACAGCATATATAACTATACACGACTTATAGCTACTTATAACACAGGCGGCCCAGACGTAGTATGTGTCACTGAATGAATGTATTAATTTTCACATGAAAAAATTAATGCGATGAGTCGTCGAAACTCCAGTGAACTAAAATAGTCCAAAAATCAAAATATAACAAAATAAAGCTAAGATACCTTTAACTGAACGTATCCTTGTATTTCCTGGCCGGTTAAAGTGGCATTTTGTTGAGTTTTGCAATTGTAGGTACTATCCACTAAAGAAGAATTAAAGGCTGGCTACAAAACAAACGGACCATCTCCACGCGCCTTCACGCGAAGCGCTATAAATTGGAGAATAATCAACGAATCCGCTCCAAATTGCCATCGGCTAATCTGCAGGTAACGTGTGCTCCGATTCCTTGCTCGCTTGCTCCACAAAACCCATCGCAACTGCACAAGAATCGCTCGCTCATCAACAAACACTGTTGACCTTTACGCTTCGATATGACCGCGAACTACCAGGTATAATACGCGACGTGAATATTCAAGCTTAGCGACCGCGTCCGCGCGACAATGCAACACTTTCAATGGGAGGGATGGTACTATTGCTTCTAGGTCAATCAACACTGAGCGACGGTCCGCTGCGTTAGTTTTGACCAGAAAACGAAAGGCGATCGCGCGACCGTCCGTAAGTTTTCAACAGGGTGGCCCTGGTTTTCAAGCTCGAATTCTTCTAACGTTCGCTGTCACAGCTGCTGTCACATTGTTCGTCCAGCCGCTTGCATAGGTTCTTGACTCTACTAGACCTATTTGCTTAGATTAATTAAATAAACAGTTCTTTCCAGAACTACGTTTTATTCTACAGTATGTTGTCCAAACTGGTGAGGGAGGACGAGGTTTTCCCGCCAGGACAAAGGCAAAATCTGGCGTCGGCTATGCAGCTGAATAGAAGATATAGCTGAAGATATGGTAAAGTAAAATTTATGTGCGCGATATCTTTTTTTATTATCATTATTTTCAAACTCAGGGGCACCCAACGACGATTTCCCCCTAACTGCATTGAAAACACATTTAAGGCTGTCCAGAGTACTTTCAAATGCATTGTAAGAGGCGCTAATACATAAATTTAGTCAGGAGGGCTAAAAGCTTATAAGCTCTTGATAATATTTATAGTTTGCTCATACTAAACATAAAATCGTGTAGTGCTAAGCGGAGAAGGCAACGAGACAGGGACACCCAAAGACGGTTTCCTCGAATAAATTAAAAAAACATTTTTTAGCTATTCATAAAGTACTTTTAGTTCTATAGAAATGCATTCTAATTAAGTGGCGTTATAAAATTTGTTCAGTGTTCGGCCATTCTAGGGGAACTTGAGTCTTTTCGAAATTACGAGGAATTCAGAATTATTTTCCCGAAAATTTTAGATGCAATTTAACGTCTTACGAAGGAGATAATTTTTCAGATTCCTTGTTTCATCACATTTTTGAATCCAAAAATTTTCTGGGTTCCTTTTTACTCGCTGCGAAAAATAGCCTAACCCGGAGAGTGAAATGTGAAAAATTAAACTTCAGAAAATCGTAGGGAATTTATTAGCAAGATTAGATGAGCTTCGAAAATTGTACATGAATGGAAAGGTCATCTAGAAATTTTTACCCAAGTAAAAGAAAATTCTAGGCAAAATTTGCTTCTCCGAACAGATATTTTACAGAAAACGGTCGTTTACCCTTGACCAGAGCTGTGAAAAAAACAACAATAGGTCTAATTGTAGCACACTTTCTCTTGTACATTTCCTTGCCGTTGATTTGCATGACTGCAACGTGAAACGTCCAGAAAACTTCCTCGTTTTCACTTGTTCACTTGTACATGTTCTTGTTTACGTTTTCACAGCCACTTATTTCTTTTTTTAGCTCCGCTATAAAATTCCTATCTGTTCGGTGATCCTAGGGCAAATTGAATCTTTTTGAAAATTACGAGGGCTTCAATATTATTTTCCCGATTGATTAACCTAGAAGCAATAGTACCATCCCTCCCATTGAAAGTGTTGCATTGTCGCGCGGACGCGGTCGCTATGCTTGGATATTCACGTCGCGTATTATACCTGGTAGTTCGCGGTCATATCGAAGCGTAAAGGTCAACAGTGTTTGTTGATGAGCGAGCGATTCTTGTGCAGTTGCGATGGGTTTTGTGGAGCAAGCGAACAAGGAATCGGAGCACACGTTACCTGCAGATTAGCCGATGGCAATTTGGAGCGGATTCGTTGATTATTCTCCAATTTATAGCGCTTCGCGTGAAGGCGCGTGGAGATGGTCCGTTTGTTTTGTAGCCAGCCTTTAATTCTCCTTTAGTGGATAGTACCTACAACTGCAAAGCTCAACAAAATGTCACTTTAACCGGCCAGGAAATACATGGATACGTTCAGTTAAAGGTATCTTAGCTTTATTTTGTTATATTTTGATTTTTGGACTATTTTAGTTCACTGGAGTTTCGACGACTCATCGCATTAATTTGTCCATGTGAATATTAATATATTCATTCAGTGACACATACTACGTCTGGGCCGCCTGTGCTTATAACTGAGTTGCGTGGTTAATTTTCAATACTACTCATCGCTGAACAATAATATTACATGATAAATCAAAGAAGTAAGCTGTAACTGCACTTTTCAGAGCTTTCTAACAGTCCACCTCTTTTGTAATAGTGGCGTGAAATAAAGTGAACCATTAACCAAATGCAGTTCGCTGAGTAGCATGAATGTGTGCCTGGAAAGACCCATTAGTCTGACACAGTTATTGAATCAAAAACAACCGTTCCTGTTGGTTTTGATCAAGAGCACCTGTTCCTTCATATATTGTTGGTGCTTGTCGAGCGGGCTGCTGCGTGCCCATAGCAGGCACACATTTAATCTTTTAATATTTAATTTACCATATAAAGTAGAAGTTAAACAATTACAAGGATGCGGTATATTTGGTGTCCTTTTC